AAATTTTGCAGGACGCAACTTGGCTGATGAAGAGAAGGAATCCATCAAAGCTCAGGGGATGAGATTGCGCCAGTGCCTGTTTGGAGACAGGGCAGCTGGAAACAGAATATTTTGGCGGTCAGTACAATGAGATAGTTAGAAAAGCTACCCTTCCTGAGTGCTGCTGTGGCCAGGCCCCAGCCAGGCGACAGCAGACATCACGATGTTATTGTCCATAGCATCCTCACATCTCATCATGCAGATGAGGCCATTGTGGTGCTAAGAAACTCTCCCGGGGTGCATAAGTGATGTGACACATGGGGTGGGTCTCGAGCACCTACTATGCACGTGAGCTGGGTTCTGTGGAGCAGGGTCTGGGACAGAGCGCGCGCTTTCCAAGTGTTTCCTGTTATTATCATGTGCCAGACAGTGTCAGGCCCTGCAGATAAGGTGATTAACAAAGCATAGGATTCCTGCCCTTGTGGACATGAAACAGAGGAAGATTTGAGCAAACTTCACACAACTCAGGAAGTGCCATGGGGGAAAACAGACTTTGTGTCATGAAACTGCTCCCCCCTCTACTGTCCCAGCTTACCCTCAAAGGATCAAGATGTGGGGGGTCCGAAATCTGAGTTCTCCAGCTGGCTCTGATGAAATTTGAGTCCTGGTGGCACCTCCAGGCACCTTAGAGGCAGGCTGGAGCAGAGTGGTTTTCAAACCATGTCTTAGTGGAGGAATCTTCTATTCAAACATGATCTTAAGCAGAAGCCAAATCCAATGTGCGAACAATTATAAACTCAGCTGACCTGATTGAGGGTAGAACTGACCACGCTAACCCTTTTCCCTCCTCCTCATCAGCCCCAGAGGAGCCTCAGAATTCCCAAGGCTTTGCACATCATAACAGGACTTGACATTACGTTAGTTTATTAAGAGCTATGCTCCTTATGTATCTGACCTAATTTAATTTTCTTAACAACCCTATGAAGTCATCATTTTACTAGAGAGGAATCTGAGGCTTGGAGGAAGTAAATCAATCAATCCATCCATCAATCACTCAGTGGCTGTTGGTGGATCATGGTCTGGCTGCTGTCCACCTGTCCATCACTCCACAGGTACTTAACCTATTTCTTCAGATCGTAGCTACCCCTTCTCATCCCTGCTTTGCCACATGGTTTCTCAATTTCCTGGTATGTCAGCTCCCTGTTGCCACCTTGCCAAGTGACCACAGCAAAACAAACTTCACCTCTTGCATTTCTAGGGGTCAGCAGAACTCTGTTTCTTTTGGAGGTTTCCTTGCTGTTTCCAGCTTCTAGAGGTTCTGTGGTCCCTCCAGCAATGTCATCACTCCAATATCCGCTCCCATTAACGTCTGCCTCCTTCTCATAAGGATCCCTGTGATGACAATGGCCACCCAGATTATCCAAGCGGCCCTCCCAACTCAGGATCCTTAGTTGAGTCATGTCTTTGCTGCCATGTAAGGGAATTCTGAATTACCATGTAATTCATGATTCTGGGGATTAAGATGTGGACATCTTTGGGGGCCATGATTCAGCCTGTTATACCTCATAACCCCACTCATGCTTCAGACCTGAGTGTGAGGTCATGTCCCCAGGGAAGTCTTGACCCTGACCTCCCTCATGAGATGGCCTCCTGCTGGGCTCTTACAGCATATGGTTACTCTCCCTCACGGCTTGTCACAGTCGCAGTTTTGCATTTGTTGCCCTCCCTGGTGGCACAGGGGTTAAAGTCTCAGCACTGTTAAGCTATAGCCAGCCACTGCAGCATAAGTTCAATCCCAGGTCAGGGAACAAACCCACATGGTGCAGCAGACCTCTCCTGACTCACCAGCTGCTCCCCTCAGCAGTGTATTTCAGTAGATCTGCCTTTTCTGCTTCCCATTCTGTCTCTCGTGAATTCTCTCACCCCCTGCACTTCTGTCCTACTCCCCAGTCCTTGTTTGCATAAATAAAAAAATAAATCTTTAAAAAACAATTTAGCATTTGTTTGGATATCACTGATTAATGTCCTGACTCTAAGTTAACTTCAACCCTGTGGGGAGGCACTTTGTATTTTCAGCAGAGTCCAGAGCACAGTAGGGGCTCAATTAACATTTGCTAAACAAATGGAGGATCAAGTGAACTTGGCTGAGGTCACAGCAGCAAGTTGCAGAAGCAGGGCTTGAGCTTGGGCAGTGTCCTAACCTCTCAGCCTTCCACTGGGTTGCCTTTCCCAGACCTGTAGTAGCTCAGCTACAAGCGACAAGTTAAAATCTCCCCCAGACACCCCACCAGCTATGGGGTTGGGTGGCCAGCCTACAAGTGGGCACCTCCAGTGTCACAAATCTGACGTCTTGTGGTTTAGGACGGTCATGGGTGGGGGTCTGGACCAGTTCTACAAGCCCCGTCCAGGTGGGACTGGGGACAGTGGGTGGCTGAGGCTAGAAAGGCGGCAGTGGTGGGCCACTAGGTAGAGAAGCCCTCCAAGGGAGGCGGCAGGCACACTCCAGAGTGAGTTGGCATGCCCACGGTGAGAAGCTGGAGGAGGCGATGCCAAGGAGGAAACGAGCTGTCAGAAACCCAGCAGAGACGTGGGAAAGTGCAGTGTCATGGAAACCAGGGGAGCAGGCACGGTCATCCTGTCTGGGAAGAGGTAGCTGTCAGAGTCAGGCTCTGCAGGGCGAGCGCGGGAAGGGGAGGCCTCCTGTCTTCGCTGCCAAGGTCAACTCTGCTGACCTTCAGCAGGGTGGTTTTAGCAAACTGCATGAGAGTTGGAAGATGAGGGAAAGGCTGAGTGGGAGCTTCAAGGATTCAGGAGGAAATTGGACCAGAACAGGAGACCACACATTTCCGGATTGGCAGGGAGAGAGGAGAGTGGTTGCTAGGAGGGGCGGCAGGAGCTAGGGAAGCTGAGCCTAGGTTTGCAGGCGCCTGGGGAGAGCCTGGGAGGAATCAGTGGAGAAACAAGGAGGGCACGTCGTTTTGGGCTTGCACCCAGCTGGACCGGGAGAGTCTGGGGATGAGTCAGCACCCACGTAGCTCAGTCAGCGAGAGATGGGAGAGGTGCCCAAGCGCCCAGACCAGCTCGTTGCTCTCAGCACTCCTCAAATTGGGCATTGCAGTTAGAGCCTGGGAGCTAAGATTTCCCTGTAGAGTTGAGCCAGGATTGCATGGGAGAGGGCTCTGGAGACGCAGAGCTCAGGCCACTGAATGCAGAACGAACCTAAGCACAGCAGGAGGCCAAGTGCTCCTGAGCTCAGGGTGCAGGCCCTGGGCTGGGTGGCTGGTGTGAAGTCACGTGGCAGAAACTGTGTGGGGGAGTGTAGCTCCTCTCCAACTCCACTTCTCCAAAAAGCTCTAGAACTGCCTTCCAGACCCCAGAGTATCTGAGGTCAATACTCTTTTTGAAGATGTGATTTTAATTTTGTGCTTTGGATACATTCAGTAGGCTGGCGAGGCCTATGGATATTCTCTCAGAATAAATGCATAAAATAAAATACATGGCATTACAAAGGAAAGTAATTATATTGAAAAACAGTTGTTCAAAAATATATTTAAAACCAAACTCCAATGTCATAATGTATGTGCTTCTATACCAAATGCATCAAAGAACAAGATGTAGCAGTACGCCATGCTTTGGGGGGGAGTGGGGAGCATAAATGACATTTGGAGAGAGCTGCTAAACTCTAATGTGCTATGAAAATGTCTGTGATTTCTTCTGGTAGTAAAGTCACAGATGCCATTACTATCGTGGTGACTGACTACTGCCACAATGGAAGGAAATGCACAGTTTTAGGAAAAGGTGAATGGAAATAAAGACGAAATTTTTACCCACCCCAATTCTTGGTCCTCCTTTCTGTAGAAAGTCAAAGGTCCCCCAGCATGTTAACCAATATTATTACCTCGATAGAAAAAGAAAAGTTACTGCCACCCCCCGCCCCCAACGCACACACACAGCCTGGGTGCTACGAGGGTCAGCCCAGGCGACATCACAGAGATGGTGTGGGTGGGAGGGAGGCCATAGCTCTGGAGGACACACTATGGGGGCCAGAACTGTTCAGGTCCTGAGACAGCAAGCCTGGTACAGCCTGTCTTCACACAGAGGGCAGAAATCCCAAGACTTGGGTAAATTCCCCTAATTTTTAAATGTTAGCCCCCAAATCCACATTTTAAAGGCTAGTTTGGAGCCAAACATAACACAATTACAAGTCAGATGCAGCCCGGAGATGTCTGGTTTTGGCTCCCTGACAGACAGGATCTTTGGTGGGAGTGGCTGTGGGCATCACCCTCCAGGTCTACAGTCTTCCAGGAGAGATCATACTTAGCCCACATCTCCATCTAAATACATGCTAAGCGATAACCCCAATCCGCAGTAATTGACCACATTGAACCTAGTAATTGTCCTGGGCTCCGCTTGCTCCCTGGGGCCGATGGGGTCAGGGCCCTGTCTCTGCTTGCTCTGCTCTGTGAAGGGAGCACAATAGGGTCCAAAAACCCCGAATTTAAGTCTTAACTCTGTCACCTATCAGCCCAGTGACCTCAAAAAGTCATGACTCGCTCAATCTCGGAGGATCTAGTCCGCAAAACATTTTCACGAGGCACTGGCACATTCCAAGCTCTCGGATGCTGTTCACACGCAAGGAGCTCAAGCTATTTCCTTCCAGTTTCTTTTTGCTCACTGTTCCAGAGGCCGAGTCCCTGTGGGGTGAGGGTGTAGGAAATGAGGGGGCCGTGTTGGTCCCCAAGTGCGGCACAATGCATGAGATCCATTAAATGCCCAAAGCAAGAGCCTACACAGGCGGCTGTCTGGCTTATTCTAACAATCGCTTTGGAAGGGAATCCAAGGATTGGGCAGTTACCTCGGCTTTTTCTGGCAGCACTGAAATCAGGGTGTCTTGCAGATTTCAGAGAAAGGAAAGAAGGCCTTGGGGACGCTGACTGCTTTCATTTTGCACGCCCTACATCAGGCAGCTCCCGGGGGGATTCACTCTCGTTGTCAGATGATGCAGCGGACGCTCTGAGCTGCTCAGGGCCAGGTTCTCAGGCTGGGCTGTTATAGGAGCTGGGAAATAAGACTGGATAAGATTCCTGCCACCACGCTGTCACAGCAGAGTTGTTTTTTTTTTTTTTTTTCTTTTTTTTAAAGAACTCCCTGTGGCTCTGTGGGAGTTTTGCCTGCGTTTTCCGGGTAATTGCCTCGCCCCCGCCCTCTCTGAGCTGGGCTGTGGCATGTAGCAGGCGCTGCCGGCTGGGGGTGGTGGCGAATGTCTGCCTCCTTGCTTGCAGTCAGTCGGGGGCGGGAGAGGGGGAGTTGCCTGGGACACGGATGGGGGAGCCCCAACCTGAGTTGGCGTGGATGAGAATGAAGTAGGTCCCTGGGGAGGTGGGGGCCACAGGGAAACAAGCCATCCTGTAGGCACAGAGGAAAACCAAGAGCCACTGTCAGTGAAACGTCCATGGATCACACACAGGAGGCCAATCCAGCAGAGAGAGGGGCTGAGCCCCAGAGCCAGACTGGTGGGTCCACTTCCCAGTTATGCTGTGTGGTTGTGAGAATCTGAGCAGATCCTTAGGTCTCTCTGTCCTTCTGAGCAACTATCTGCCTCTCAGCTTATATAAAGATTAGTAAATTAATACAAGGGAGACATTTAAAATAGCTAAGAAAAAAACTAAGTTTCTTCTCCAGGCACAGAATATTTCTACTAGCAAATGCACAGGGATTTGCCAACCATCCAGACACCAGCTGGGCATCCTACCACTCTGCTCTGACACTAGCTGTCCAGACTCACTGCACACCCCACAGGTTGAGGGTTCAGCCCCACAGGACTGTTCCCCACGGCAGATCCAGTCTCCGGTCCCAGTCACAGGTTTGTCACTTGCACTTCTGACCAACTGCCTATAAAATGGGGGCTCCCACCACCACCTCCCCATATAATGTGCTATTGCTATAATGGAAATTCCAGGAAATACTTGCCAGTCTGTTACATAATAAGGGATTCCTTTCCTGGGGGAGGGGGGAATGCAGACAGATGACGAGCATAGGTACACTGGGTACGGGGAGGGAGGAGGCATGGAGCGTCCGTGTCCGCAGAGCATGCCACATTCCCGACACCTCCCTGTATTCACCAGCCCAGAAAGTCTCCAAACCCCACAGCTGAAGGATTTTTATGGTGGTTTCATCACGCAGGTCTGATCAATGATCTTAATCTCCAGCATCTTTCCCATCCCCAGAGGAGGGGCGGTGCGTCTGAAAGTTCCCAGGTTTTTTTTTTTTTTAAAGATTTATCTTTATTTATTTATACAAGCACTGGGTACAGTCAGAAGCACGGGAGGGTGAGAGAATTCACCAGAGCCAGAGCGGGGAGCAGAGCAGGCAGAAGGACCTAAGTACTCTGCTGAGGGGAGCAGCGGGCGGCAGGAGAGGTCTGCGCGCCATGCGGGACCCTCCTCTGGTGGCTGGGGAGCAGCCGGGGATCGAACCGGCGCTGCCCCAAACCGGCGCTGCCCTGAACCAGCGCTGCAGAGGCGTTGGGCAGCTTTGCAACCCAGGCTCAACCGCTGCGCCACCGGGGAGGCATGCTTGGTCTTTCTGGTGACCCACCAACAGCAGCATAAAAGACACTGTTGGTACACAGGAAATTCCACGGGATTCAGGAGATCCAAGCAAGACATTCCCATGGCCCTCACGGCTCAGGAGACTACAAGGGTTTTAGGAGTTCTACATTAAGAATCAGAATTAAAGACCAGATATTACAACAAAAGGTGCTCTCTGGACCCCCTCACTCAGGACATGACCATGATTTTAGAAACTGCACGAGGTACTGGGTACAAAGACCATACAGATTTCTTATTGCCCCATAGCAGCATGTCACTGGAGCTCAACAAATGGCAGCTCTTATTACTTGCTCAGAAGCACCCTTGCAGTCTCTAACAAAGCAACTGAAGCCAGGTCTGCAAAATCTGGGTGATACTTATGTTCCCGGTAGCCTCTTTGAAACATGGCGAACCTCCACTTGCCTGTAAAGACCAGGCACAAATGCCACTGCTTCTAGAAAGCCCCTTCTTTCATGCTTCTCATTATCACATTGGCATCTGTGATGAATCTGGCCCCAGGCAGGGGCAGACTCAGTACTGTGGGGCCTGACACTTAGATAATTGAGGAGTCCTTTTAAAAAAGAACATAAAACATTCTGATTTTATGTTTATGAAACAAAAACACCTGTGAGCACAGAATGAGGGTGTTAGAAGGCCCTACACAAGTTGGGGGAGGGAACTTGATGTTTGAGCTTCATGAATTTCATCATGGGAAAGCCCTCCCTGGTGTCTTGTCATCCCCACAGGAGCCCAAAGCAGTTGATAAGTATTGTCCCCCGTAAGTAATTCACATCTGGATGTGGAGAATGAGACTCCAAGACAAGAAGGCACTTCCCCAAGACTGTGCCCTCAACTTCTGCTGTACCTGATGGGTAGAGGCTGTCATCAGGTTCACCCCTCCATCTCAGGCCTCACCCCATGGGAGCACAGCATGGTACCCACTAACAACCCATCAATCCCTACTGAAGTTCAGCTTAGCTCAAGCTCAGGACAGAGCTCACTCATCTTTGCATGGCGAGGCCCCCTAGAAGGAACTCAGGACAGTCACATGCCTGTTAACAAGGGAATGTGTTCTGAGAAGAGCATCCGTAGATGATTATTTAATTGTGTGAACGTCACAGGATGTACTGCACAGACCTAGGTGGTAGAGCCTGCGACACACTTAGGCTTATGGTGGAGTTTATGGGATCTCGTCATCCGTGATGTCTGCCATTGATCAAAATGTTAGTGAGTGACACATGACTACAAATGTATGTTGAATAAATGTATGTGAATAACACACTCCACCTTCTCTCTTTTGTGCCCTTGGTCTCTACAGCTGATCTGTTTCGTGTTCCTGCTCATGGGTTCCCAGCCCTAGCCTACTGTTGGGGGGAAAGTTTTTAGGGAGCAGAAGGAGGGAAAGAAAGAAGAAACCTTCCTATAGGATCTAAATAGGGCTGCAGAGGAGGATAGTCAATTCACACATTCGGCAACTGTTTGTTGGATTCTGTTCTTAGCACTAAGAACCAGAAGTGAACAAAACACAAATATCCCTGCTCCCAAGGAGCCTGCATACTACTGAGGGGAAATAGACCATAACAAAGCAAATGATAATATCAAAGCCTGACAGATGGGGGTAAGTGCTATGGAGAGAAACTCAGCAGGAAAGGAAGACTGAGTTTCTGAGTGTGTGGGAGAACCTGAGGTGGGTACTGAGAAGCCCTAAAGAAAGTGAGAGAGATCCATGTGGCCAACTACAGTAGAACCTTTATGCAGAAGGGGCCACAAAGGCCCCGAGGCAGACATGTGCCTGATGAGTGGGAAGAATAGCAGGAAGGCCTGTTGTGAGTAAGGAGAGGGGATCCCCAAAGTGATGGGGGCCAGATGAAATGGGCTCTGTGGGTCATTGTGGAGGATTTTGACATTTCTCAGAGAGAGAGAGAGAGAGATTAGAGTCAACCATTGGAGGGCAGTGAGTTGAGGACCTGATAGGACTTTCATGTGAAAAGGATCCCTCCATCTGCCCAGTTGAGAATAAACAGTAACAGACACGACCAGAATCAGGGACACTGTGAGAAACTATTTCAAGAATCCAGGTGGGAGATGGTTGCATCATGGACCAGTTGGTGACTGCGGAGGGGTGACAAGTGGCCCATTTCCAGGTGATTTTGAAGACAAAAACAACGCGAAGTAGGACAAGAGAGAATGGAATATGGATAACTGCAAAGTTTCTGGTCTAAATAACTGGAAAGATGGAATTTCCTAGGGGAGGAAAGCTTTTGGGCTAAGTTCAGGACTTGGGATTTGGACATGTTAAGCTTGAGCTGTTACTTGAAGTCAAATAGGCAACTGAACACAGGAGACTGGAGTCAGGCTGGAGACATAAAGTTGGGAGTCACCCACATTTGCTTGGTCTCAAGGCCACAAGAATGAGTGAGATCACACGGGGCTGTGGACAGAGATGGACATCAAGTCAAGGATGTCAAGTCCTTGCCAGCGTCAGGGAGATGAGACCGAGAAGGAACCAGCAGCACGGTCAAAGGGAAACAGGGATGCGTGGTGTCCCGGAAGCCAAGGAAAGGTGGTGGTCCTGGGAGATGGGAGTGTTCATGCTGGTGAGCCCAGTGGGTGAGCGCAATGACCTCTGGATTAACAACTGGGAGACCTCTAGTGACCTTGACAGTAGACATGTCCACGGAGTTGTGGGGATGCAGAGCTGAGTGGAGTGGGTGTAAGAGAGAAGCTGAGTACAGACTGCACGTCTAGGCCACTGAGGCATCTTGCTGTGACGGAAGCAAAACAGGAAACAAGAGCTGGTGATGGCACTGGGATCATGAGAAGTTTCTGGTGATGGGGAAAGAGCAACAGCTTACATCTTGATGGTAGTGATTCAGCAGTGAGGGGGACTGCAAGGCAGGAAAGGAACAAGAGACTCGCAAGAGTAATTGGCTGGAGCTGGCAGGGGGGGTTAAGGCCCAGGGAACAGAGGGTGCATTAGCCTGGCAATTACTCACCCGCAGTGGCTGAGTTTCAACCAATGGAGGGCAGAGCTTCCTGGCATTTGCGTGCCTGAGACCCTTTGACTGTCTGGGGAAGTCACTGAGCCCTTCTCAGATTCATGTTCTTAAATTTATGGAATAAAGTCATAAGATTACAAAGCAAGACAACAAAGCAAGACAACAAAGCAAGACAAATGTAAAAATATCAAAGAATTATGATCTAATAGTATGTGTGTATTTCTTCTTAATGCATTAAAATAACCTAGCCAGGGATCTAGTAACTACTTCACTTTCAAAGTAACAGTAACGAGGATCAACTGTACTTCACAATATCTGCAACCACTAAATGTGATGTGAAACTCTCTGTGATTTCTGTTGGTGATGAGGTCACAGGCACTGCCAGTGCTCCTGAGTTTGCGGCCTATCATCGTAGTGGAAGGAAATGCCAACTTTCAGGTAGACCTTGGTGGAAATCAAAAATAGAATT